CATCTCCCTGCCCCCAGTCAGTCCCCTCCTGTGTTCGGTGGAGGTCAGCTCCCTTCTCGTCACTGGGCCCCTCTCTCAGCCTGAGCACCTAGAGGCTGTAAGCCCTGTGGACCCCTCAACCATGTCCAATGGGGTTGTGGAATAACGAGGGAGGCCATGTGGGCAACTACCTGTCTTCCTACCTCACCTCCTCTCCTGGACTCCCGCAGCCATCTGGGCTCCAGACACACCGGCCCCATCCACTCTGAGGCACCTGGGGGGCCCTGGGAGCTGTGGGTGTAACAGACCCCTCCCCTTCTCTCCTGGTATGTGGGGGCTGGTTGGTGAGAGGGAGACCTGGGACTCTGGCAGTGGACAGGTCCTGAGGAGGATGAGGGGCAGATAGAGAGACAAGGTCTGCCCAGCCGGGGAAGGGTTGGTGCCACCTTCAGGGGTCCTGGCTCCCTGGAACTCAAGGACCTGGGGCAGCGGTGGGAGAGCTGTTCGGAGGGAGAGGCAGGAACCCCGATGTGATTTGATGTTGTCATGAGTCAGAAGTGGGGCTTTTCTTTTTAAAGAGAGAGAAATCAGAGCCCTAGTGGTGCAGTGTTTAAGCGCTCAGCTGCGACCTGAAAGGTCGAACCGAAGGGTTGGCGGTTGGAACCCACCAGCTGCTCCGCAGAAGAAAGATGTGGCAGTCTGCTTCTGTAAAGATTCCAGCCTTGGAAACCCCAAGGGGCAGTTCTACTCTGTCCTACAGGGTCGCTATGGGTCGGAATCGACTCAACGGCAGCGGGTCGGGGTGGTCACCTGGGAGCAGCTCCTATTTCTCACCCCCTGCGACTTGTGTGTTAAATGCCCGGGGTTCTGTGTGCTTCCCCTTCAGTGTGTTGGAAGGACCCCCCCCACACACACACACGCCGCATCTGAGGAGCTGGCATCGGGCCGGTCAGCTTGGGCCACCCTGCTGCCAGGAGAGCATGTCGGGCCTGGACTTGAAGGAGCTGGCGGAGATCGGTGAGCACGCCTGTCCTCCCTCCCTCTCTCCTCCTGGGAGGTGGAGAGCCTTGTTGTTTGTTTATTTTTTAATAAATAATACATTCATGTGGTTACAAAAACGCCACCTTGAAATGCCTCCCTTCCACCCCATCCCTCTGCCCAGGTCCTGCCTTGTCCCACGCTTCTCCCCTGTTAGGGAATGGATTGTGTCCCCCAAATATGTGTTGGAACCCTAACCCTGTACACGTGGAAAGGAGCCTTGGGGACAACAACAACGTCCCTGTGGATGTGGTCCCCTTTGGGAACAGAGTTTTCTTTGTTATGTTAATGAGGCCATATCTGTCCTAAACCTAATCACTTCTGAGTTATATGGAAACCCTGGTGGTGCAGTGGTTACGAGCTCGGCTGCTAATCAAAAGGTCGGCAGTTCAAATCCACCAGTCACTCCTTGGAAACTCTATGTGGCAGTTCTACTCTGTCCTGGAGGGTCACTATGAGTCAGAATCAACTCAATGACAACAGGTTTGGGTTTTTTTTTTGGTTCTGAGTTATAAGGAGCAGCATAGACACAGGGACAACCAAAAACCCAAAACCCACTGCCGTTGAGTCTATTCTGACCCATAGCGACCCTGTTGGACAGAGTAGAACTGCCCCATAGGGTTTCCAAGGCTGTAATCTTTATGGAAGCAGATCGCCATATCTTTCTCCCGCAGTTTGGCTGGTAGGTTTGAACCGCCGACCTTTTGGTTAGCAGCTGAGCTCTTAACCACTGTGCCACTAGGGCTCCTTACACAGGGACAAGAAAGCACAAATGGGAAGACAGAAGCCAAGGGAAGATCACCAAGGAGCCGAGGATTGCCGGCTACTAGAAGCACTGTGGTTGCACAGCAGAGGCGGGCCGCAGTCTGTCTGAGTGTCCTCTAGAGAACAGAGCTGGTGGGACGAGGAAGGACCTCTCCCTGGAGCCATACCCTGAATTCGGACATCTGGCTTCCTGAGCTGTGAGAAAATAAATGTCTGTTCTTTAAAGCCACCCTCTTGTGGTGTTTCTGGTCCCCACCTCCTGCCTGGTGTCCTCACATTAGCAAATACTGGGTGGCGGACAGCACAGGGCGGGCTGGGGCTGAGACCAGCGTGGGGTAGCAGGAGGGGTAGCAGAAGGTGGGTTTAAGACCACGGGAGTCCCAGCTCCTGGTCTGGCCACTCCTAGGTGGTCAGACCACCCCAGGTGTCGTGCCCTCTGTGTTACTGGTTTCTCTCCTTGGATGAGATGCTGGACCCCATCAGGGGGCTTCAAGCCTGGGGTCTTAGTTATCTGTTGTTGTTCTTGTTAGGTAACTTCGAGTCGGTTCTGACTCATAGCAACCCTATGTACAACAGAACGAAACACTGCCCAGTCCTGCGCCAGCCATCCTCACAATCGTTGTTATGTTTGAGCCCATTGTTGCAGCCACTGTGTCAATCCATCTCATTGAGGGCCTTCCTCTTTTTCGCTGACCCTCTACTTTATCAAGCATGATGTCCTTCTCCAGGGACTGGTCCTTCCTGATAACATGTACAAAGTTATCTAGTTATCTAGAGCTGCTAGAACAGAAACACCACAAGGGGGTGGCTTTAACAAACAGAAATTTAATTTCTCACAGTTTAGGAAGCTAGAAGTCCAAATTCATGGTCCTGGCTGGAGGGGAAGGCTCTCTGTGTCTGTTGCCTCTGGGGAAAGGTCCTTGTCTCTTTTCAGCTTGTTTCCTGGTTCCTTGGAGATCTCCATGTGGCATCTATCTTCCCCCATCTCTGCTTCTTTCTGCTTGCCTGTGCCTTTATCTGCTCTTTTTGTATCTCAAAAGAGATTGACTTAAGACACACCCTACAATAACATTGCCTCATTAACATAACAAAGGACACCATTCCCAGACAGGATTATAACCACAGATATAGGGGTTAGATTTACAACACATATTATTTGGGGGACACAATATTGCATCAGGCACCTCTCTAGGATGTGTCGGGAAGAGCAGGTAATTGTTTCCCTGAATCCCTGCACGCGTTTCTCGTGGCCTTGATAACAAAGTACCACAAGCTGGATGGCTTAAAAACAGCAAAAATATTGTCTCACAGCTCTGGGATGTCAACAGGGCCATGCTCCCTCCAGAGGCTCTATGGAAGAATCCTTCCTTGCCTCTTCCAGCTCCTGGTGGCCCCAGGCATTCCTTGGCTTGTGGCCCCATCACTCCAGCCTCTACCCCCACTGTCACATGGCCGTCTTCCCTCTGTGTCTCTTCTGGTAAGGACACCAGTCACATTGGATTAGAGTCCACCCCAGTGACCTCATCTTAACTTGGTTACATCTGCAAAGACCTTACTTCCAGATAAAGTCACTGTGATGGTTACTGGGGATTTTGACTTGAACATACGTTTTTTGGGGGACACAATTTAATCCATAACAAACCCCTCCCCCTGGCAGTTCTAATGCTGCCAGTTCTGACTTTAGAGAGACTGGTCTGATGACCGGAGGTCCACTCCCGCCCTGAAATTTGAAGTTTCCATTCTTTTTCCAGCTGAAAGCATTCCTCAAAGAAGCTTGTACAGGAAAATGTCCCCTACTAAAATTTCACTTTGGAAACACAGCCATCCCTTCCTCCCTTGTACCCAGGCAGTCCCTGTGTCTGCCCCCAATCCCTGCCCTGGGCAGCTTGGGGCAGTGCTAGCTTTCTGCCTGGCTCTGGCATCAGCATCTTCCAGGAGAAAGAACCTGGGTCAGAATATGGAGCTGGGGACTCCAGTTCAGGTCCACACCCTGCTATTAGTTAACAGTGTGACCTTGGACAAATCACCCCCTCTACCCCAGGCCTCAGTTTCCTCTCTTGAAGTGTGAACGGCAGTATCCAGCTCAGAGTCTCATGGCGTTCCCTCAGAGGTGCTGCCCCCTGACTGGGCACACAGTGGGTGCGCAGCGGAGCTGGTGTCGCTGTCTCAGCGTTCTGTGGAGAAACAGAATCAGTGAGACAAATTTATAGAGATTTATGTGATTGTGGGAGCTGGCAAGTCCCAAATCTGTAGTTCAGGCAGAAAGCTGGAGACTTCTGCAGCCTTACATCCCAAGATCCGTAGGTCAGGCGATAGAAAGAGTACAGAGCAGAGAGAGAGTGAATTCTGCCAAAATATCTGGTTAGAGTCTGAAGGCAGGCCACACCCTAAGGAAATTCCCTTTTCAATAGATTGATTGATTGCATTGCATTAGATTACATTATGGAAGGTGATCATATTACGTTGCATTACATTATATTATGGAAAAAGATTACATTACATTATGTAAAGTGATTATATTACTTTGCATTATATTACATTGTGTATGTTACATTGCATTAGATTGTGTTATGGAATGTGATTACATTACATTACATTATGGAAAGTGATTATGTTATATCGCATTAGATTGCAGTATGGAAGGTGATCACATTACATTACATTATGCAAAGTGATTATGTTGTATTTATTAAATTGCATTATGGAAGGGGAGTACATTACATTACATTATAAAACCTAACCTGTTGCTGTCGAGTAGATTCCAGCTGATAGCAACCCTATAGGACAGAGAAGAACTGTTCCATAGGGTTTCCAAGCAGCAGCTGGTGGATTCAAACTGCTGACCTTTTGGTTAGCAGCTGTTGCTTTTAACCACTGTGCCATCAGTACATTATAGAAAGTGATTAAATCACATTACATTAGATTGCATTATGGAAGATGATTATATTACATTATGGAAAGTGATTAAATCACATTGCATTAGATTGCATTATGGAACAGCAACTAGTCTAGTGTTTGGCCAAACCACTGGGAACCATAGCCTAGCCAAGCTGACACATAAATTTAACCATCACACTGTCTCTCACAAGGACCTCAGGAGGTCCTTTCACCCTCCTGTGTGGGAGAGTGTCCCCTACTAAAATTTCACTTTGGAAACACAGCCATTAAGGGAGAGCAAGACTGACTCCTCTAACCTTCATTGTTTGCTGTAGAGCTGCAAAGAGATGAGGAGGAGGCTGCCGCACTGGGCACCCGGAGACAGCCCTTGGCAGCACCCACGACTGGTGAGGACCCAGCGCTCAGCATGAGTCACCCGTTCTACGACGTGGCCAGACACAGCATTCTGCAGGTGGCAGGTGGGTCCCCAGAGGAGTGGTCCCTACGTGATGGAGTGGGCTTGCCTGGGGCTGCTGCACTCCAGCAGGGTTCCCAGAATGAAAACTGCAGTTGGAACTAAATACTCACCAGTGTATGGAAAAAGCAGTGATTTAGCTGTCAAAAAAAAATTTTTTTATTCCTGTTGAAAATATACACAGCAAAGCATACACCAATTCGACAATTTCTACATGTACAGATCAGTGACATTGATTACATTCTTCAAGTTGCACAACCATTCTCACCCTCCTTTCCTTTCTCTGCCCCCTAAGTTTCCTATCTAACCTTTCGAGTTGCTGTTGTCAGTTTGATCCCATATAGACGTTCTTTAAAACAGCACAAGGCTCAAGGCAGACGTTCTTTACTAATTAAGCTAAACTGTTGTTTTGTTTAAAAAAGATCTCAGGTTTAAGGTTTAAAGATTATCTCAGGGCAAAGGTTCAGGGGTTCATCCACCCTCAATGGTTCCAGAAAGGCTGTTAGTTGTCAAATTTTTAAGCATTGCCCAAGTCCTCTGAGGAGCCTTCGGGCAGCGCTCTGCCCTCTCTTTAAAGAGCAGAAGCTGAAATGAAATGGAGTGTTCTATTGACCAAGGGTGCCGGCAGGCTACATCACATCAAAAGCAACAAACATCTGCAAAAACTTAGATGAGACGCACCGCGTGCCCAGCACTTGATCAGAGGAGAATATCTTGCATCCTGTAAATATGGGAGTCCCTGGTGGCGCAGTGGTGAAGAACTCAGGCTGCTAACACAAAGGTTGGCAGTTCAGATCCGCCAGCCTCTTCTTGGAAACCCTATAGGGCAATTCTACTCTGTCTTAAAGGGTCGCTATGAGTCAGAATCAACTTGATGGCAATGGGTTTGGTTTTTGGTTTGGGTAGGGCAGATGGTTAACACATTCCCTGCAAACCAAGAGGTTAGAGGTTTGAGTTCACCCAGAGATGCCTCAGAAGAAAGGCCTGTTAGCTACTTCCAAAAAATCAGCCACTGAAAACCCTACGGAGCACAGTTCTACTCTGACAGACTCGGGGATGCCATGAGTCTGGGTCAACTCCACAGCAATTTTTTTATGTGTGTGCGTAGGCCAGAGGTGTCAGAGTGACCCACCGTGTGTCTGCCATGTGGGCCTGGCGCTCACTCGTGTACTCCCCTCACCAAACTCTGTAGTTGTTGGCCCCCACCCCCAGGACCTGGGAATCTTGTTGGGGTGCTGGACAAAAAGAAGGAACAGCTCTCAAATAGTTAAAGACCCCGGAGACATGACTGTTAAGTATTTTGGTGGACAATGAGTACTGGTGGAGCGAGGAGGGGACCAAGATGGTTCATGGACAGGGGATTTGCAGGGCACCCAGCTATTTGAAGCCCTGAATCGGCTTTTAGAGGACCTCTAGGGTTGAAGTGGAAGGTAATGTCGTGGATTTCTTGGGGATATTTGGGAGCATTTTGGCCAGTTTCAAAGGCCCAGGCTGGAGCATGATGCTAAAGAAACCAGATTCAAACCCAGAATTAGAACCTTCCACAGGGGCACTCACCTGGGAAGTGTGAGCAGATGTACAGCTGGCCAGGCTGGTGCCCTACCCGCTGTCTAGGGGCAGGGATGCTGCCAACGGTGGAGGACTCTGATCGGGTGCCATACACATCTTTTGGAGATGCCCATTAGACCTCCAGGTCTGGTGGTATTCCTTGTCTTAAAGCCTCATTTTGTCTGATACTGTTGTAACCACACCCGCTGCACCAGCTTTGTTACGACTGGTATTGGTAGAGTATGTCTATTTCTATCTTTTTACTTCAACCTGTCTGAGTCTCTAGTTAAGGAGCCCTGGGGGCACAGTGGCTAAGCACTTGGCTGCTAACTGAAAGGATGGGAGAAAGATGTGGCAGTCTGATTCCATAAAGATTTACAGCATTGGAAACCCTGTGGGGCAGTTCTACCCTGTCCTAACGGGTCCCTATGAGTCAGAATCGACTTGACGGCAATGGGAGTCTTTATATATAAAGTGCATCGCTTATCAACAGCTTATAGTTGGATCTTTTGTATACTTTTATGGAGAGATGAGACTGGCCTATAGCAGGAAGCATATTCTCAGAGCCTTTGTGATCGTTAAGGCTGTGTGTCAACTTGGCTGGGCCATGATTCTCAGTGGTCAGGCAGTTATGATGTAGTTTGACAGTCGTATAACGATGTGATCACCTCCATGATGAGATCTGATACTATGTGATCACCTCTATGGTGGGATCTGCTATGAGCAGCCAATCAGTTGAAAGGGAGTTTCCTTGGGGGTGTAGCCTGCATCCAATATAGGTGGACTTTTTGGCAAGGCTCGGAGGCTTTTGCTCTCTCTGGAACCTACAGCTGGTTCCTGTTCTTCTGACCTCCGGTTATTGGGACTTGAGCTAGCAGCTTACCTGCTCTCTGACCTGCCGATCTTGGGTTCGCCAGCCCCTGTGGCTGTGTGAATAAGGAGAAGCCTCCATCCTGACCCATGGACTTGGGATGTACCAGCCTCTATAACAGCGTGAGCCATTTCCTTGATATAAATCTCTCTATATATATATTTATATGTTTTACTGGTTTTGTTTCTCTAGAGAACCCAGCCTAAGACCGCCTGGCAGGACATGCTGAAGAGTTTGTACTTGGTCAGGATGGCTCAGAGGAACCTCCAGCACAGGACTGATATAATCAGATTTGTGATTAAGAATGCTTAGTCTTGCTGCAGTGTGGAGAATGCTGGAGGGAAGTTCCTGGAGGCAGGGAGACCAATCAGAGAGATAATGGGGGTGTGAGTTAATGTTGGGGGGGTGTGGTCGAGAAAGGGGATGAATTTGAGAGATATTAAAAAAGTTAAGCTGGAGGCTTTGGTAAAGCAGTGCTGGGAAGGGGCCCTGTAGAATGGAATGAGGCTTCCAGAGTCACAGACGGAAAGTTTACATTAAGAGAAGAGGGCGCCTGAATGCACAAGCTTGGTGACGGTAAGCCATGTCTCTAAAAAGTCTACACCAGGAGAAAGGACCAGTTGGCAATTGCTATGGCATATATAATTTGGAAACAACAGCAAAAATAACTTAAAAATATGTGTCCGGTTATGTATGTATATTTGTTAGCTGTTAGGTGTCATCGAGTTGGTTCCGACTCATAGCGACCCTGTGTGCAACAGAAGGGAGCGCTGCCCGGTCCTGCGCCATCCTCACAATCCTTGTTATGCTTGAGCCCATTGTTAGCAGCCACTGTGTCAGTCTATCTCGATGAGGGTCTTCCTCTTTTTTACTGACCGTCTACTGTACCAAGCATGATATCCTTCTCCAGGGACTGGTCCCTCCTGATAACATGTCCAAAGTGTGTGAGACGAAGTCAAAGGAGCATTCTGACTCTACTGCTTCTTCCAAGATAGATTTGTTCATTCTTCTGGCAGTCCATGGGATAGTCAATATTCTTCTCCAACACCAGAATTCAAAGGCATCAATTTGTCTTCTTTCTTCATTGTCCAGCTTTCATGTGCATATGAAGTGATTAAAAACACCATGGCTTGGGTCAGGCGCACCTTAGTCCGTAAAGTGACGTCTTTGCTTTTTAACCCTTTAAAGAGATCCTTTGCAACAGATTTGCCCAATGCAATAATGTCATTTGATTTCTTGACTGCTGCTTCCGCGGGCATTGATTGTGGATCCAAGTAAAATGAAATCCTTGACAACTTCAATCTTTTCTCCGTTTATCATGATGTTGCTTATTGGTCCCCTTGTGAGGATTTTTGTTTTCTTTATGTTGAGGTGTAATCCATACTGAAGGCTGTAGTCTTTGATCTTCATCAGTAAGGGCTTCAAGTCCTCTTCACTTTCAGCAAGCAAGGTTGTGTCATCTGTATAATGCAGGTTGTTAATGAGTCTTCCTACAATCCTGATGCTCCGTTCTTCTTCATACAGTCCAGCTTCTGGGATTATTTGCTCAGCATACAAATTGAATAAGTATGGTGAAAGATACAACCCTGATGCACACCTTTCCCGACTTAAAACCATACAGTATACACTTGCTGTGTTTGAATGACTGCCTCTTGGTCTATATACAGGTTCCTCATGAGCACAATTAAGTGTTCTGGAATTCCCATTCTTCACAAAATTATCTATAATTTGTTATGCTCCACACAGCTGAATGCCTTTGCATTGTCAATAAAACAGGAAAACATCTTTCTGGTATGTTCTGCTTTCAGCCATGATCCATCCAACATCAGTAATGATATCTCTTATTCTGCATCCTTTTCTGAATCTGGCTTGAATTTCTGGCAGTTCTCTGTTGATATATTGCTGCAGCCACTTTTGAATTATCTTCAGCAAAATTTTGCTTGTGTGGGATATTAATGATATTGTTCAATAATTTACACATTCTATCAAATCACCTTTCTTTTGAATGGGCACAAATATGGATCTCTTCCAGTCGGTTGGCCAGGTAGCTGTCTCCCAAAGTTCTTGGCATAGCCAAGGTGAGCACTTCCAGCACTGCATCCATTTGTTGAAACATCTCAATTGGTATTCTGTCAATTCCTGGAGTCTTGTTTTTCACTAATGCCTTCAGTTCAGCTTGGACTTCTTACTTCAGTACCATCAGTTCTTGATCATATGCTATTTCCTGAAATGGTTGAATGTCAACCAATTTTTTTTGTTACAGTGACTGTGTATTCCTTCCATGTTCTTTTCATGCTTCCTGGGTCATTTAATATTTTCCCTGTAGAATCCTTCAGTATTGCAACTTGAGGCTTGTATTTTTTCTTCAGTTCTTTCGGCTTGAGAAATTCCGAGTGTGTTCTTCCCTTTTGGTTTTCTATCTCCAGGTCTTTGCACATGTCATTATAATACTTTTCTTTGTCTTCTGGAGCTGCCCTTCGAAACCTTCTGTTCAGCTCTTTTCCTTATCATTTCTTCCTTTTACTTTAGCTACTCTACATTCAAGAGTAACTTATAAAGTCTCTTCTGACATCCATTTTTGTCTT